AGGCCCTGCTGGTCCTCTTGCCTTCAGAGGAGCCGGGAATGATACAGCAGCTTCAGGAACGAAAAGTCCCCATTAACCAGATCCAGTAAGTGCCGTCTTCTTTTGACGTTTAGTTCCTTTTTGGCGTTCCGACCCCTCGTCCCTCCTTGGCCACCCTTCAGAGACCTGGGGTGGAGTTAAAACCCGCTGAGCCGAGGGTCTCGGCACTGCTCCTTATCCGACAGGCCCCGTCTGCCATTCGGATTTACTTCCGTATCCTGATATAAGCAGAAGGAAGTGCCTGGAGCAGCCTGTCGTAATCGAATAATGTGGATTTATGGCGCTCGGCCACCCGGAGAAAGGCGGGGAGCAGCCATGCGCAGGGACAGGCTCCGGGTTTCCACAGTCCTTGCTGGGGCCGGCGGCTTTCCGATGATGGATGGAAGGAAAGTCATGCCGTTCATATCCGTTTTAAAATGTTGAGGGGGGAGGGGGGCTGGGTGCTGCCTGGTTTGATCTGGCTGCCCATCTCCGCCGTGAGATGCGAGAGCCAGCCCCGTGCAGCCCGAGCAGGGCTGAAATATTTCCTTTAGTGGGCGGGGCAGCGTTCAGCCTGTACAAGCAGGAGTGCTGCATATGGCTGGATGAACAGGGAGATGGACCTGAAGTGATTGTGCAGGAGGCTCCTGTCCGTGTTTCTTAAAGGTTTTCATTTCTTCAGAGGATGTCATGCTGTTACCCCAAAACACTTCCCTTGGGAAGTCTTAGGGAAAAAAACAAAATGTATCTGAAAGCAGTGGAGCCGGAGTAAAAAAGACTAGAGCTCATGTGTCGTGTCTGCGAAGGTTTTCACTTTTCAGCACCAAAGTGTTGCAGGATGCCGGATCTGCCTTTAAAGAGTCACGTGCCGCTGGGAGACCTCCAGCAGGATTGGCAGATGTTCTCCGACAGGACGGCCCACTCTGGAGATAAGCAGACTGCAGCTGCGGAGTGACCCCAGAGCACAGTGTCTCATCTTGATAAGACCTGATGGGCGTAGCGTCCTCTCCACTGCAGTGTAAGAGACTGTAGTGATACAGTCGCGCTGTCCCCAGGGCTGCTAATATGTAGCTTTAAACACACTGCAGAGGATAAAATGTTAGATCTGAACTATTTTTCTTCCACATCGCAGCAGTCTCCACTCATTACTCACTGCTGCTCCCAGAATGTTGGAGTGATTTTATATAGCAAACTAGTATATGGTGTGGTTTCTAAACAAAGAAGTGCTTCATATTGGTTATAGTAAAGTTGTTCTGAGTATTCAAGCAAAGGTTTCAAGGAACATAGAATTCATTAAGTGCAGGGTTTTTAGAAAGACTCACATGAAAAATAAGAACTACGAATTTATCAGGATTTTTGTCTAAGTTATAAGCATTTCCCATGTACAGTTTGAGTTACCACATTACAAAGATGATGTTGTTCTGGAAGCAGTCCAGAGAAAAGCAAGCCAGCACATTCTCAGGCTTTAGGGAGTGTCCTCCTCTGGTAGGCCAAAGGAAATTAATATCTTTTATCTTGAGCAGAGAAGACTAAGGATATTTTAAATATTTGCATTAGATCTCCTTGTAGAGACTTTGATAATGTCAAAGACACGGTACCCAATCAAACTGAAGCCTACTGTGTGTCACTTAACTCCTAACTACCAAACGAATGGCTTTCTCTTATTTGATAAATAGTGTACTGTGGACTTTGCCAATAATGACTTTGAATGCTAAAACACTTTGTAAAGACGTTTTTTGTAAAGGGTTTTTTCAGTTGAAAGTGACAAAGTAAATTATCTGCAGTGCAAAACAGTTTCAAATCCCCACCTGCTTCTGTAAATTTCAGAATGCACATCACAAAATTATACCCTTTAATATTAAGTAGTTGCTGAGAGAAGTGATGGATTACTTGGCATTAAACATGCATCAAGTAGACACCTAGCCAGTAATGGTGTAGGTATGTGAAATAAAGCGATATTATTACGGGCAAGATTTAGATCTCATACAATGTGAATGAGGCCCTTTTTCATTTTTCAAAGCTAGATTTGTCACTCAAGACACAGCTCAGAGTCATGTTGCGGACCAGTCAGGCTGCGTGAGGCCTGTGAAAGTCCTGACTCTCCAGCAGCCTTGTTTGTCACTGCTGGC